TGCAAAAGCCAAAATATGTATCAACACCTGAATCAGTATCCTATTCACATAACATATAGAAGTAAATTATAAAATAACTGCCTGGTGAACAAAAAGTGATTGACAAAGGTGGAGAAAAAATTTAATAAAAATCCTACCACAAGCAGAAGAAATAGTCAGAAAGAAGAACAATTGCATACCTCTTCGCTGTGAGTACTAAAGATCAAGTCTTCTCTTAAGAACTTCATGTCCTTCAAACGCTTGACATATTTTGACAAAAAACCTTTATGGCTGGAAACACAGAAGAAATTAACCCCAGATTCTATCCCAGCAAGTAGCAATAGCGTGAAGGACATTAACAGAAGAACAGTTAATAGAACGAAATATGAGGATAAAAGCAAAAAGGATGGTGAACAAAACTTGACCGCATTACATTTAAAATCCACATCTTTTTTACATAAGCCATCCTAATAAATGAAGGAGGCAGAATCCATACCTTTTTCCATCGGGATGTGTAATTATGATATCCAAATCTCCACACGAAGCTTTTTCCCGTCTGTATGATCCCCCACATACAATGATCACCTTCAAGAGATGTCACAAAAAATTAGGTAGGAACCACGTATGACTGTTCATGTCAGTGTGCCAATCATAAAGGTCTTTTGGCTGAGGTATGGTTGTAATATTACTAGACTAGATCTACACCATTACATGGCAGCAAGTACAATTACAATCTGAACCTGAAGGTGGAAACTAAATTGCTTTAGCATCAAATATACTGATAAAAACATCTGTTATACCCTTATAGAACATATCCTTACTGCCTTGGCATCTTTAGAAGCAAAACAATAAATCAACAACTTCCAAAATTCTTTAAAATTGTATTCAGGCATCAAATCACAATGTTAATCATAAACATTACTTTTCACATACAAAAAGTAGCCTTATTCCATAACCAACAGACTGTGGAGAGGGTCCACTCCGGGTTGAGTCAGCTACCACTTAACCATAAATGGAAAGGACTAACTCAGAAATTAGAATCATACAAAAGTATCGAAGTCTACGGCAGTAACAGCATTTTACTGGGAACTAAATTTAGAGATGAATTAACAACTAAGGACTTCAGTTGGCCTAACTTAAAATGGCCAAAACCTAGATATGTTCAAGCATCTGTGGTCCATTGGAACTACAGATGTTTGGTGATTGTTTTACATTATCCTGCTGGTTCAAGGGGAGATTGGGGCTGGATGACCTTTGAAGATGTTATTTCATTCCCTTCTTATTGAAATAAGTATGTCGTAACACTCGCACTTTGTGGGGCTCTTTTTGAATATCGTTATCATGGATAACGTTGAGAATCTTCCATTTTGCCATTAAGTGTCTTTGCATACTGGAAATATAGAATGATGAGTTGCAGATGACAGGTGAAAATATGACCATTTAAACACTATAAAGCATATATGCTCTGCTTTCCTGTATTTGCTCGATTGTTCTCCCCATTAAATGACTATATTCGGGAGGACAAAACATCTTAATATTTGTTCTAATTATTGCTTAGAATGGTCACGAGAATTTTATCATATACAGTGGCTGTTTCTTTTCTAGCATGCTTCTGTTACTCCCCTGAAATCTAACGCTTACTGTCACTTATTCTGCAGCTGCATTGCGAGTGCTATCATACTTGCCATTTCCCTACTCTTCTTTAAGCACGCTCTTGATAATCCCAACTCCACTCAGGGATGCTGTCTATGATTATTGTTGGAAATTAGATACTATTATTTAGCCATTATCTCTATATTTTAAGAAGTTTAAGTTATTTATTTGTTTTAGGTTGTTATCATTTAAATTAGATTAGATAAAATTGATTAGTTATCTTTTTAGATAATATTATCTTGTAAAGCCTATTTAAAGGCTGGATTATTTTTTAGTTAATGTGAGATTCAGTTTTTCATTCCATCTTTTTCTTTTCGGAATCTTTGATTTTTTAACATTTGGTATCGGAGCCTATTTCCGAAAAATTCCATGGCTTCTGAAAATTATGTCCAGCCCTCAATCCCTCATTTTGATGGTCATCACTAGGACCATTGGAATATGTTGATGTAGAATTTTCTCCGGTCCAAAGAGTATTGGACCATTGTTGAAGCTGGAGTTCCAGAACCAGCGGCAGGTGCAAATGATGCACAGAGGGCAAAAATTGAGAAGGAAAAATTGAAGGATCTCAAGGCTAAGAATTATTTGTTCCAAGCCATAGATCGGACTATCTTGGAAACAATTCTTAACAAGTCTACTTCCAAACAAGTCTACTTCTAAGAATATTTGGGATTCCATGAAGAAGAAGTACCAGGGGAATGAAAGAGCAAGGCGGCAACAGCGCCAGGCTTTGCGGGCAAAATTCGAAGTTCTGCAGATGCAGATTGGTGAATCTGTAGATGATTATTTTGCAAGGACGATGGCTATTGCAAACAAGATGAGGATCCATGGTGAAAATCTAGAGGATGTTGCCATAGTTGAGAAAATCCTTCGGTTTATGACAACAAAATTTAATTATGTTGTTTGTTCAATTGAGGAGTCAAATAATATGGTTAAATACCCTTTTTGGTCCCTCTACTATAGGAAAAAGCCTTTTTCTGGTCCCTATACCGAAAAAATCTCCTTTTTGGTTCTTACTGTTCACAAATCCAACCCATTTTTAGTCCTTCCGTTAAATTTTGGCTGACATGACAGGTTAATTAATGGAAACACTCATTTCTTTTTTTTATTAAATTACGTGGAAAATTCACGTTGCAAAAATCAATGACATGCTAAATTTTTTACTTTTAATTACTGATATGCCGTCACCTTTTTCCCCGGCTTCTCTTTCCTCCAACCTTTTTTTTTCCTTTTTTTCTTTTACCTCCAGGCAAACCCAAGAGT